ATTAAGGTTATTTGAAATTCATGCAGGACAAGCATGGCCCTCAGAGAATGCGGTACACAAAAAATCATATTTTGCGTTGAACGGTTTTTCCCTGTGTTTTACCATGCGATACTGTACGACCGCCCGTCTTTTTCGCCCCCGGGCAAAGGGGATCCACAAGGTTGAAGCATCGGGTGTTAAAGCACGGCAGGCGATACGCCCACCAACCGGCCGGCGGTGTTGCGCCAGCCCAGCCCCTTGCGGCGTGAGCCCACCCCAACTCGGCGCCGGGAGCCTACTCCGACCCGGCAGCCGACGCCCACCCGGCAGCCAATGCGTCAGTCGCGGCCGGCGTCGCCGCTGCGACGCGAAGCAACGCCCACCAGGAGGGAGAACCGGGAACCAACTCCGCGGCATGGAGTTGATTCAACGCCTACCAGGCAGGGAGAGCGATTCTTTCATGTCTGCTTGCTTCACTTCCTGAGTTCCTGGACTTCTTGAAGACCATGTTTGTGGTAAGCAACAAGTTTTTTTACTTTTCAGCCTAACCCACTCGATCGGAGGTGAGTATTGCAAGGCCGGTCTTGTGCAACGCGTTTTTGCCAGAGAGCTTTTTACCAGTTCTTGATCTGGACACGTAGGCGACGGCCTGCCACACCGCGCACTCCAGGCTATGAGAGAATGTGCCAGGAGAGTCAGCAAGAAGCCGGTAGTTATTTGGCCATTGTCGTGGATGGTCTTTGACTTGGTTTTGATTGCCGTTCTTTCTTTGGGAGAAGCTTCCGTCAGTGTTCCCTCCATTTCGTGTTCCCTCCATTTCTCTTTGCGGAACCTCCAAAAGGGGCAGCTTTAATGGGAACCACCAGCAAATTGCAACCTTTGAAGCGGAAATCCAGTGACCCTCCCTCCCGCCCCAATTTTCAGGAGAAGCCCCAGACAAACCCTCATGAATTGAGTCGGTTGCCAAGTTGGCACAGGACCATTCGGGGGAAAACTCCATGCTTTGTGAGAGCCGCGGCCTTAGCAAATTGCGAGAAGGTGGCCGAAGTGGGTCATTCTTGGAGGCGACCCTTTTCATCGAATTTCAGACAAAGATGTAACGCCATGGCTTATTTTGGCAGATCATGGGGCACAGAACCGCAGAATCCATTCAGAAGTACCCCCGAGTAATGTATGCAAGGTGTTGCGCCCTGTTCGGCCTGATGCGGGCATATGGCTTTCCACCCTGCCCTCTATCCGCCTCAGGCGTGGTGCCTTTCCAGATCGGCCTGCCGCGGCTTTGCAAGCAGGCATTTCGGCCACAAGAGACAGATCCGGCCATGTGAAAGAAGTGGTTTGACTCATGACTCACGGGGGTTCATCCATGTCAACTGGTGCTAAATAATTTTCGTGCATTGACAGGCCCAATAATTACTCAGTCCAAGATTCGAATGCATCGTCGTTTCGGTTGTGATTGCTTCACATGAGCGGCATTGATGGACGGCAGAGACGCGCATGGGGACGCCTAACATGCATCCAATGCACCTCTCCTGCATATTGTGGTGGAGCTTTCTTTGCTTGGGTCCAACAACGCACCTATAGGTCATGATGATCCAAGGGATTGCTTTTCTTAAAGATGCAGTGGTTCAGCCAAAGTAGGGAATGTTTCGACTCTGGTGGCAGCAACTGAAGAAAATGCGCCACGCTGAAGGTGAAACACTCTTGGGTTGAGAAAGCATTCCTTGGTGGCTAGGACTCCCATTCTTGAGCGCGTTCGAAAGTTCGAACCACTGGTTTTCGGGTGCTTCCATGGTGCTCTTCGCGCGTCGGTGCTCGCAGCCGCCTTTCATTTCAAGCGCAAGACTCGCGCAATGGACCGCGAACGGGCCGCTCTCGCTGCCCTGAACCTGGAGCCCGCGAGGCTATCCAAGATGAAGCAGGTTGCGGCCAGGCGCGTGTGCGAAGGGAACGGCTTGGAACTACCTGGGGAAGCAAGAGCGCAGCCTGGTGAATCAAGATCTGAGAGCCTAGCGCAGCGCGGCAAGAATAGTGGTTTACGGTGGCCAAAGCTAGAGGACAACATAATTCCCGCGAATTCAAGCCAGGTTGAGCCTAAGTCAAAACCGAAGGACCTGGCTGTTGCCTAAGCTGATTCGCCAAAAATCCTAACCTTGCTGCCCCCGAGCTAGTGGAGCCCTAAACTTCGCATTCCCAGACAGCCAGCTGCAACTGCCATTAGCAGCCGGTTGTTGTTCACAATCCGTGCCACGTATGTCGCTGTTCCTGCAGATTCGTTTGTCATGGATTTTCTGCATAGCTCTCAGCATTTAGTCTGTTGATGAATCCGCCGTGTTCCTGCGGAAACGTCGAAAACAGAACGCCTGGATTTATTTCAGATGGCCGTTTAGAGTCATGAAGCACAAAGGAACCTTCAAAATGCGCAGGACGGCATGAGGCAACAGCCTGTGAGGCCAAAGGCTGCTCCACAAATCCCTGCCAGCAAGCAAATGACTAGCAAACAGGAGTTACCTGACTTTTGAAGGGGGTTGAGGCAGACACAGGAAGTGCCTTTCCCGAATCTGGACACTGCCTGTGACCTGACCGAACCAAGCATTGGCGTCAGGTTCTATCCACAAGCTGCCAAGCTAGCAAACACGAACCCCTCGAGGCAGATGTATGTATATATATATATCCCGCACGCAAAATCGCAAGGCTGCCGCTTCAGTTGCTGACACTCTCAGCATGAGAACCGTGACATGGGCACCCGCAAAATCTGACAACTCCTTTGATCTCGGAGCATCAAGTGCCCCCTAAAGCTGCTTTGGAGAGTCTTGTGAGTTTGATTGCGGAGGCAAAGCAACAGCCAATGCAGTTCAACTCATTCACTCAGTCATGCCAGGGTTTCTGTATTTCTCTTTGTGGTGATTTTTTCGGGTAAGCCGAGTTTCCTTTGGTCGGGCAAATATGTGGCCACGGGCAAGTACCCAGGACATCCGGAGCACGGCAAACCTTTGGCCTGGGCTCCAAGAACTGAATCCTGGATCGGATCGCTTTTTCGGGCGCGCGCCCAGAGAGTCACAACTCACTTCCTAAGTTGATGGACTTTTGAGGCTTGGACCATCTTAGTGGCCAGTGGCAAATGACAAGTTTGGCTGCTTTCTGTTGAGCCAGTCCACTCGATCGGAAGTGAGACAAGTTCCGGACTGCCCAAAGCTTGCTAGAGCCGTGTCTTTGTTTGTTTCAGCTTTTTTCCAGTGACATGTTTGGTGGTGTCAAGTAGGGCTGAGCTGGAAGTTGGCACCTTGGGTCCCGGTGTTCGGCGAGCCGCGGAACCAAGGCGCCTTGTCAATTCGGAAGCCAGCTGCGTGCAGTGATTGCGCCGAGGGGCATCCTGACCGTGCAGGTGTCCCCGAGTACTGAGGTGTTAATTTGAGGTATTTAAGGAGGGCAAGCTATGCAAGAGGGCAAGATTTGAAGCCCCACTTTTTGAAGCCGCTAAATCGTACATGGCCCTGCGCCTGTGGCTAAGCATACGGCCAGCTCAGATGTGATTGTCATGCCTTGCTACACTAAGAGCTGATCATACTTGAGTCTGTGTTGCAAGCCTTGAAGCTGACCAGCTGACTGACCAGTCGGCCCTTTCTATCTGTTCGCGCCCTGTGACGCTTCAGATTTCCTCTGCGCAGCCTTAGCAGCGCTTTTGGCAGATGACCTCGCCTGCCAACTTTTCCCAGAATCTCAGGCCTCAGAGTTTGAGCGGAAAAAGGTACAAGCATGGTGGACTCCTGGCCGAAGCGGTTGAGGGCAGACCTTGCAGGCGGTTGGCGATTCCTGGCATACGGCTTGCATTCCTGGACAAACGCGCACGATCTGAGGGTAGTTTGGGCTTCGGGTGCTTCGGCATTCTTTGCTGGTCGATGACTTTTGGCCTCCCTGAGAGTAGCAAGTAATAGTGCCAAGCTTTGGTGTTGCACGGACGACTGTGAAGAGGCTCTGGGGTTTGTTTTCAGAGGCAGCCTCAAACTTGCTTTCCGATGTTGGGTAAAAGATGGGTTTGCCATGCGGCACGCAGCAGGACGCCATATACACACATACACACATACACACATACACACATACACACATACACACATACACACATACACACATACACACATACACACATACACACATACACACATACACACATACACACATACACACACATACACACACATACACACACATACACACATACACACATACACACACATGCAGACACATACAGACATGCAGACATGCAGACACACACACACACACACAGACACGGACACACAGACACACAGAGACACAGAGACACAGAGCCACAGACACAGCGACCCACAGACACACAGACACACAGACACACAGACACACAGACACACAGACACAGAAAACAGACACACAGACACACAGACACACAGACACACAGACACACAGACACACAGACACACAGACACACAGACACACAGACACACACTTCGAGCAAGGTCGCAGTAACTATACTGGTGGAAGGACACACTCCACTTCGCACGAAAAGGGATGGTGCAAGATTTTGCCCTTCCACTGTGTGTGTGAACCTGTTTGGAAGGAGTATGTTGGGAACATGCCAGAAACGAAGACACATCAAAAGGTTTGGAGTTGGAATCCCTGGTGCTATCCAGCATTGCTAGAGCTCGTTTTGATGCTGATGTCCTTTTTGATGGGTATAGCTCACTGAGTTCCCCGGTGGCTTTCGGAAGTCTCTGCAGGTTCGGCAGCAGAAGGAGAGGAGCCAATACTGGGGCCAGGGCCCCGAAGAACTTGACTGCTATGGGGTTGGATCTTTAGATTTCAACTTTTTGGTTGAAATCAAGTTGGGTTTTCCACTAAGCCCCAGAAAGTTATTTTTTTTTGCAGCGGGGTCAACAGCAACCAAGAAAGCCCGCACCCCCCTGCCTTTTCAATGAAAACATAAAGCTGCCTTTTGGGGCTCATGACGCCTGTTCTGGACGATGCAGCTGCTGGTATGTCCTTGTTGTGGGGGGGGGGTTGAACAAACATCACCTTGCTGGGCCTTTTTTCCAAGGATCAGTCTCCTTGCATGCTTTTGGATGCCAACTTGATCCCTCTGCCCTTTAGGATTAGTCTCCTTGCAGGGGTGATGACAATGGACATATGAAAGCCGCTGTGTTCGCAAGGTGGAGCATGGCATCTTGACGCCAATTCCAGCTGGCATGCACTAGGGCGTTGTTCCAAGTACCTGGAAAGAGAGGCCCCAAGAATGCAAATGACTAGGCTCGTTGCAATAATGTTGTGTTTGCAAGTACGTGGCCTCCTGTAAGAAGGGCATAGGGACATCTTCACCTCCTTATGCAAAGAATTTGGGGGAGGGGTGATTTCCATCCCCCGAGATCTTTTTTATTGCCGGACAAACTCACCAAAGCATCCTCTTTGGGAAATTTGCGCTTGTGGTTCTTATATGTCCCTCTTGTTCAAACGCCTTAACCTTTTCACGCCAGTCCTTTGGTGGGGTCATGTTTCAAGGGGGCCTTATTTGTGAAGGTCTTCTACTGGGTGACCCAGTTATTTCCAGCTTGGGAGTTATGCTTTGGCAAATGTGTATATGTATGTATATATGTATATATGCTATTCGTTTCTTGTTTGAGCCTGCAACTTCGGGGGTCGCCGGAGTATCCATGCCTCATCGTGCTTCCATTTGCTTGGTTCATTTCCCCTGTTGGTTTGAAAGGGAACCTATCATTGATGGACTTGTTAGTATTTTTTTGTTTCCCCAGGGGCTCGAGCATTGTGTTTTTTGGATGGTATTGAACGGCAGCCAAAAGAGAAACATCACCATTTTAAGCCATTTTAAGGGGTCCTCCAACCACAAATCCACATATTTTCTGACTATTTGGTTGGATCTTTGATTGGCACAGGCAAGATTTTCCGTACTGGTTTGCAGAGGGGTCGTTAAAGCAACACCATGCATTTCTGGTTTTTCATCGCCCCCTAAAGAAAAAGGTTTAAGCACCCACGGTTGATGCTAAAACACCCAACATTCTAGGGCTTGATTCCCCGTTCTTTTCAACCATCGTTCTTTTCAAAAACCGAATCTGTGTCCCCTGAGTTTTGATGGTTTTCTGAAAATAAGGATCCCTGGAAAGATTGGGGAAGTTACCCCCAGACCATCCCATGTGGTCCCCCCACTGCTAGGTCCTCCAGTAGGGTTCGAATAAGGGCACCAACTTTTTTTCTGTAGGGAAGCCTAGAAACGGAAGTGTCCCCTAGAAAAACCGGCGGTCGTGCCTTCGACCGAGGCCCCGAGCCCATCCCCGGAGACCACCTCTCCGCGCTGCGGGAGCAATGGCGCGTGAGCCTCGAGGAGTGGCTCTGGCGCCAGATGTTCTCTGACCGTGCCTTGGCGCTTGACCCGTTGTCGGCGGTTTGCGGCGACACAGAACGTGTTGGAGAACTATAGGGGGTAAAAAGCCTTTGAAGGGTGGTTTTTACATGTTTTACAGATTTGAATTGCTTGGCTTTTCGGAGAATGATGGATCTCGGCTGCTCCCTAGCATGACCTTCACCAACCTTTGGTTTTTGGAGAAGGCTGTATCCCTGCGAAGCAGTGTCCCTTTCTGGGGTCAAAGTACCAAGGTTTTTTCAATGTTCATGTTCATGATCACAAGTGTTTTTTTGAGTAATTAGTTGGCAAAAGGGATGTAATTGTACTACTATACTGTTAGCTGACCTTTGCTCGCCGCAGGGAAAACATGAGCCCTTTTGAGGCCTCGAGTCTGGCTACAACTGGCAGGTTCCCTGCTAAGCGTACCTGGACCCCTTCCGCAAAGCATGCCAAACCAAGCACATGTGCGGCCTTCGTTCTTCATTGCCCTTTCCAGACCGCTTGTCCAAATCGTAAACCTGCACGCCCCGTTCGAAAGTTGTTTTGTCGGAACACGTAACAAGGGGTGGCAAGCCCCAACCTCAGTTGCCCGCAGCCGACCTTTCAACCTGTTGTTTGTCCTGATTCGATCCAAGGTTGCGCAAGGTCAACCTGTTGGGATTTGCACGTGTGGTAAATGGGAACCCCCTTAACCATAGGTGTCCTTTTCAGGTGAGCCTGGTTAAGAATAGATGGCACTGGTTTAGATGGGTTTTGTTCATTTTTCCAGGGCCATCTATTTCTCCAAATGGCCCCCCACCCACCTTATTTCAGGCTGGTGAAAAATTATAGTTCACCCAGACTCTGTTTGAGGGAAGCCAAGAAACTGAGCAACTCGGCAACCTGCTCGATCGCTCGAAGGCTTAGAGGAACAGCTGGCTGCCCTTCAGCACTGGCAGCAGCAGGCCCCCCGCGTTGGCCGTTTGGTTGGGTCTGAGCCTGGGTGTTTATGCAACGGCAGCGCCTGGATTCTATTCCCCAACAGCTGAAAGCTTTGGGGTCTCAGCCCAGATAGGCTCCGGGGTGGTCCGGGGCAGTCCTGAGGTAAGGTTCCGCGAGGGTTCCACCAAGGTTCCACCAGGGTTCCGCCAGGGTTCCACCAGGCTTCACACCAGGGTTCCACTAGGGTTCCACCAGGGTTCCACGGCAGCAGATGGTGAGAGCACTAAAAAGAGCACCGGGATCTCACTTGAGTTTGTTGTTTTTTTCTCCTGCAGAAGGAATTCAAAAAAGGGCGAGATGGGTATCTTGGTAACCAGTTTTTGTTCGGGAACCCCGACTTAACACCCCAGTCTTCAACGCATTCCCCACCCGTTCAATGGAATTGCTGCAGGGAGCTGGGAAGACTCGCAAAAAGGTAACCCACCTCCATTCCGCTTAGAGTAGGGGGGATCTGACGAAATCCACTTCTCACTACTTGATGCTGTTGAGGGCAATCCAATAGGAGAGGCTTGACCAGGGAGCACATAGTTCATTAGGCCAATTATTTATGTTGATTCATCCTCACCATCATGGTCATCATTCCTCTCCTCCACCCCCCCCATCCTCCTCCTCATCATCCTCCTCATCCTCCTCCTCCTACGTGTGATCATCAGCGCCATCCTCCTCCTCCTCCTCATTCTCCTCCTCCTCCTGTTCATCCTCCTCCTCCTACGTGTGATCATCAGCGCCATCCTCGCCAGCTCATCCTCCTCCATCCTCCTCCTCCTCCTCCTCATTCTCCTCCTCCTCCTGTTCATCCTCATCCTCCTACGTGTGATCATCAGCGCCATCCTCGCCAGCTCATCCTCCTCCATGCTCCCTCCTCCTCCTCATTCTCCTCCTCCTCCTGTTCATCCTCATCCTCCTACGTGTGATCATCAGCGCCATCCTCGCCAGCTCATCCTCCTCCATCCTCCTCCTCCTCCTCATTCTCCTCCTCCTCCTGTTCATCCTCATCCTCCTACGTGTGATCATCAGCGCCATCCTCGCCAGCTCATCCTCCTCCATCCTCCTCCTCCTCCTCATTCTCCTCCTCCTCCTGTTCATCCTCATCCTCCTACGTGTGATCATCAGCGCCATCCTCGCCAGCTCATCCTCCTCCATCCTCCTCCTCCTCCTCATTCTCCTCCTCCTCCTGTTCATCCTCATCCTCCTACGTGTGATCATCAGCGCCATCCTCGCCAGCTCATCCTCCTCCATCCTCCTCCTCCTCCTCATTCTCCTCCTCCTCTGTTCATCCTCATCCTCCTACGTGTGATCATCAGTACCATCCTCGCCATCCTCCTCCTCCTCCTCATCCTCCTCCTCCTCCTGTTCATCCTCATCCTCCTACGTGTGATCATCAGCGCCATCCTCGCCAGCTCATCCTCCTCCATCCTCCCCCCATCCCCGCCCTCATTTTCTCCTCCTCCTCCCTGTTTCATCCTCATCCTCCACAAATTGTGATCATCAGCGCCATCCTCGCCAGCTCATCCTCCTACATCCTCCCTCCTCCTCCTCATTCTCCCTCCGAATCTGCGCCCGCTCTTCCGCTGTCACTTCGCCGTGAAATGGCGCCAATCCACGCCAGCTCATCCTCCTCCATCCTCCTCCATCCTCCTCCTCCTCCTCATTCTCCTCCTCCTCCTGTTCATCCTCATCCTCTCGTGTGATCATCAGCGCCATCTCCGCCAGCTCATCCTCCCTCCATCCTCCCTCCTCTCCTCATTCTCTCTCCCTCCTCATCCTTTTCATCCTCATCCTCCTACATTGTGATCATCAGCGCCATCCTCGCCAACTCATCCTCCTCCATCCTCCCCTCCTCCTCATTCTCCTCCTCCTCCTGTTCATCCTCATCCTCCTACGTGTGATCATCAGCGCCATCCTCGCCAGCTCATCCTCCCTCCATCCTCCTCCTCCTCTCCTTCTCCCTCCCTCCTCCTGTTCAGGTTCTCCAACAACCCATCCTCCCTCCTCCTCCCTCATTCTCCTCCTCCTCCCTCCTTTCATCCTCATCCTCCTACATTGGCAGTCATCAGCGCCATCCTCGCCGGCTCATCCTCTCCATCACTCCTCCTCCTCCCTCATTCTCTCCCCACTCCCCTCCTCTGTTCATCCTCCCATCCTCCCACCATTGGCAGTCATCAGCGCCATCTGCAGCAGCTCATCCTCCCTCATCCTCCTCCTCCTCATTCTCCTCTCCCTCCTGTTCATCCTCATCCCCTCCCACCACGTGTGATCATCAGTACCATCCTCGCCAGCTCATCCTCCCTCCATCCTCCTCCTTCTCCCATTCTCCTCCTCCTCTGTTTCATCCCCTGTCCTCCTACGTGCCGATCATCAGCGCCATCCTCGCCAGCTCATCCTCCTCCATCCTCCTCCTCCTCCCTCATTCTCCTCCTCCTCCTGTTCATCCTCATCCTCCTACGTTGTGATCATCAGCGCCATCCTCGCCCGACTCATCCTCCTCCATCCCTCCTCCCTCCTCACTCCTCCTCCCTCCTCATTCTCCTCCTCCTCCTGTTCATCCCTCTCATCCTCCTACGTGTGATCATCAGCACCATCCTCGCCAGCTCATGCCTGCATCATCCTCACTCCTCCTCCTCATTCTCCTCCTCTCCTGTTCATCCTCATCCTCCTACGTGTGATCATCAGCGCCATCACCAACATCACATCCCTCCCTCCATCCTCCTCCTCCTCCTCATTCTCTCCTCCTCACTCCTGTTCATCCTCATCCTCCCTACGTGTGATCATCAGCGCCATCCTCGCCAGCTCATCCTCCTCCATCCTCCTCCTCCTCCTCCATTCTCCTCCTCCTCCTGTTCATCCTCATCCTCCTACGTGCCCAGTCATCAACGCCATCCTCTAGCCAGCTCACATCCCTCCTCCATCCCTCCTCACTCTCCTCATTCTCCCTCCTCCTCCTGGCTGTCCCTCATCCTCTCCCGTGCTTGATCATCAGCCTTCATCCTCAACAGCTCATCTCACTCCTCCATCATCCTCCTCCTCTCATTCTCCTCCTCCTCATTTCATCCTCATCCTCCCTCGGTGATCATCAAGCTCATCCTCGCCAGCTCATCCTCCCTCATCCTCCTCCTCCTCTCGTCTCCTCCTCCTCCTGTTCATCCTCATCCCCACTCTTGCATTGATCATGTTCGCCTCCTTAGCTCATCCTCCCTCCATCCTCCTCCTCCTCCCTCATTCTCCTCCACTCTCTGTTCATCCTCATCCTCCTACGTGTGATCATCAGCGCCATCCTCGCCAGCTCATCCTCCTCCATCCTCCTCCTCCTCCTCATTCTCCTCCTCCTCCTGTTCATCCTCATCCTCCTACGTGTGATCATCAGCGCCATCCTCGCCAGCTCATCCTCCTCCATCCTCCTCCTCCTCCTCATTCTCCTCCTCCTCCTGTTCATCCTCATCCTCCTACGTGTGATCATCAGCGCCATCCTCGCCAGCTCATCCTCCTCCATCCTCCTCCTCCTCCTCATTCTCCTCCTCCTCCTGTTCATCCTCATCCTCCTACGTGTGATCATCAGCGCCATCCTTGCCAGCTCATCCTCCTCCATCCTCCTCCTCCTCCTCATTCTCCTCCTCCTGTTCATCCTCATCCTCCTACGTGTGATCATCAGCGCCATCCTCGCCAGCTCATCCTCCTCCATCCTGCTCCTCCTCCTCATTCTCCTCCTCCTCCTGTTCATCCTCATCCTCCTACGTGTGATCATCAGCGCCATCCTCGCCAGCTCATCCTCCTCCATCCTCCTCCTCCTCATTCTCCTCCTCCTCCTGTTCATCCTCATCCTCATCCATCCTGCACTCGCCACAGGCAAACCATGCACTGGCCCATTGAAAGGGCCTTGCCGCCAGTCCGATGGATATTTGGAGCTGATCCTCGAAGCTGACGTGCTGGACATGCTGATGAAGTGGCTCACCTGGACTCTTGGCATCAGTCGTTGGGCGACGACCCGAACCTTCCTTAAGCCGTTTTGCACTGGTAAGGGGGGTTGCGCCGTTGCATATACACACCCCACCTGATTCCAGGTAGCCAACTTGCCCCTTTTTGGTTTTGACAGCTCTAGCCGAATCTTCTTTTGGGGGATGTCCGTTTCGGGCTCCATAATATTGTGCAGGACGGGGGTCGCGAACAGGGCCCTCTGAAGCTCTGCAGGAAACCAGCCCTTATGCCCATGCCGGGGCTCAGCGGACGCAAGCTGATGAGCTTTCGGTGCAGAAGCATCGCTTGTGGAAACTCGTTGATTGCGTGTGGATGGGCGAAATCCATTCTCGCAGTTGGGATCGTCTTCATCCATCCCAATTGGTGCATGTTGTAGGTTTTGCCCATCGGTTTGCATGCATCAATTCAGTTGCATGGAGTAATTTTGCCAAGCCTCCCTGCCCTGCGTACTGTTCGCTGCAGGATGTTCACCAACTCCAACACCAAGGCGAGTTCCGCAGTCGCTGTATGCCTATATATATATATGTACTATTTCCCGTTGTGCCCGAAGCTTAAGAACGACATGCTTAAATCTGAAAGGCTGTTCGTTCGCTCTTCAGAGCCGGCTGGCTCGGGCTTCTGCAAGATGCCTTGTTTTTGTTTTTTGTTTTTTTTAATCTTCCTCCCAGATGTGGACACGTGTGGACAAGGATGATATCTTGATTTGAGATGCAGCAGAGTCAGAAACAACTAAGCGTGTTGCCCTTTCCCCCTCCTGGGCTTCCCTCGGTTTCCCTTTCAACCAGCAAGAAGCTCGTGGGGCCAAGTCTTGCCCGCTGAAGCACGAGGTATGCTTGGGGAGAACAATGTTTTTGAAACGATCAGTTGTAGGACCACTTTTTGTGATACTCTCTGCGAATCTCCTTCAAAGAGAAGCCATGGTTGAGAAACACGCGGAATCATAGAAAGGGGCATGCACACTATCCACAACCTTTGGGAGGAAAGTCTAATTCTCTACCTGGTGAATTGATTGAGCGTGTGCTTCCCAAAACGTGATTTCGATCGGCTCCAAAATGGGTCATCCCTTTTTCGCTCACGGGGTTTGTTCATCTCGCTGAGTTGGATTTGGGTTTCCATGTCTTGGGAGAAAGCGCCAGGTTTGGAAATCCATCTTGGACGTGCTGTTGGTGCTGCTGAGAAACCTGGATAGCAGCTCTCCTGCACGTGAATGGGGCGAAAAAAGATCTCGCCCAATCAAAGGCGTTGACCTTTTTTGTCGCGCTTTCTATTCGTTTTGGGACATTAATTTACACTTGCCCCAGAAACATGGCGCATCTAAGGGGTCTTGGGCGATCAGATTCATTTTGTCTGTCAGGTGCCAGTGGTACAGCAGGTGGCAGCAGGCAGCTGACCAAGCGAAGTTTGGTTTCTCGGGGCTGTCCATGCGTGATTCATGATGCCCTTGCATCCTTGGTTTGTACACTTTCACCGAAGCTTTCCGGCATTTGAAGCCAGGGTTGTGCGAAGCCCGTTCTTGCGTAACCAGGCCTGGGAACGTATGTTTTTTGCTTTCAGGATAACAAGCGGGGTGGGTGCTAGCCTGGTTCCTGGGGTTTTTGTAAGGTTCGCCATGACAACCTGACTTGAGGTTCGGACCAGGGTTTCTCTCTAGCGAGGCTTGCATTGAAAGCATATTTTCCATAAGCAAGTCTTTTTTCGTGTTCGTGTTGGAAAGAAACTGAGGTAGAAGTGGCATTACAGGGCAAGTCCCACCACCCTGTTTGAAGATCCTTGGGTTAATCGATCCTTTTTCCAGCCGGAGAGTATAGTAGTTTTCCTTGAGCGTCCCACGGAACATGGAATATTGGATTGGGGATCCCCTGAGATCGCACCATCTCGCGCCAGGTATCGGGATGCAGCTGACCGACCGCGAGACCCAAATTCTGGTGCCCAACGTGGTGGAGCGCTCTGGGCACAACATTCTTACAATCCGTGAGATGATGCAGGACGTGTTGAGGTGCCATGGCTTTAATGTTGTCCCCATAAACCCCTGGTTGATTAATAAAGGGTCCCCTTTTAGAGGGGATTCATCACTTTTGGAGGGAACACCCCCCTAACAATGGGACGGGTTTATTGATCCTGGGTCAACATTAATGTTCACCCCATATATGAATCAACCCAGTTTATAAATAGGCGGGTGGTTTCCCCTGGGTGAAATGTGGAGAATCAGACCACTTTTGGAGGGGCCCACCCCCCCCAAAAAAACAAACTGGTTAGTTGATTCATATAGGGTCAGCAGTTGCCGGTTGACTCCCCCAAAGCCCGGAAGCAAAACAAGCGAGCTCAAGGTGTCGAGGGCTCAGCTTGGGTCAATGGAAGCTTGGTGTCCGGAAAGATGTAGGGCGGCTGATTTGAGTTGACAAACTGGGTAAGTTGTTCGTTGGCAGGTTTCATCATTACCCGAAAAAATGAATCGAATGTGTTTCGGGGCCAGTTAAACTCAGGCCGGGTGTAGGTTACTTCATCGATTTTCTCAGATACCTTGCAGGGTCCGTTGGGTTCCAACTCCCTTCACGTCGCTTCAGATTCTTCTTCTTTTTAAACGGGAGGGTTACATCCAGGCGGCTTCCATGGAGGGATTGTTTGAAAAGCTATTGGGGACGACTAGGTTGTGGTAAGCAAGTAAGGCCTTAAGACCTGTGCCTGATCAAGCCACTCAAGAAGTGAGACGCGGCCCAATACTTCTTCTTGGTCTTCGTCCAGTGCTGTTTGAGCACCCTCATTGTCCAGGCCGGGAACTTTTTGGCAGCAGTTTCCCAGGTGTCAATTGATGGATCCACTGATTGCAGTTTGGACGGAGCGCATGCGTTTTCCCGATGACGCCGTGGTTTGTTTGGGTTTCACCTTTCACTAACAAGGCAGAATTTGTTTAGCTTCATTTGTTCAGGCCTGTTATATTTTCTGGCTTATTTTGCTGGACGCCTTGGTTTGCCAGTACCATTTTTTCTTGCTCGGTAGGGAATCAACAGGGGTCTGGGAATGAGCCCGGGATTCCCTCAAAGGAAGCCACCAGCTGGATGATTTTTCTCGTGGGTCATGCCATTTCTCATTCCCCTCAGATGGACGCCAAGGGCTTGTTGGAGAATCTGGCGCTTGATCATGGCGCTTCTTTTTAAAGTATTGGGAAATCAAAGGGAAACAATTGTTTTTTCTTTTTACATAAAGCACACACAACAACAAAGAACACCAAAGGGACACCACAAAAGAATCCAAAAGTAAGCCAAAGGGAAGCAAACAAACCCCAAAGGGCTCGCTGGAGGCTTTGTGGGGCGGTGGCTCCCAGGGCGAAGGTCCTGCCGTTGCTGCTCCATGGGCTGAGCTCCAAGAACAAGCGGCCGCTTGGATCCGCGATTTTTCCAAATTCAGCCGCCCTCTCGGACCTGGGCCTTCCATTCGTATTTTTGTTAAGGAAATGGCGCGGACCCAGCTTCCGTTGGCTTGAGGACCTGGACCTTCCAGTGGCAAAACGGAAAGAATGGCGCGGACCCGAGGGACATGAGAAAACATGAAATACATGTATGTAACGAACGAAGGTCCAGGAAAATTAATGTCATTTGCTGTCGGTTTGAACGGGAGGGGACTCCAGCAAATAGGACGAAACAGGGTGCCCCAAATTTGACACACGCCCATATTTTCCTTCAACACAACCCAAACCAAGGACGACTCAACCGCGGAGGGGATGCTTTGGCCTGGATGATCCGAGTCGGATCCTATGCTTGTTGATTCAGAGTTGTTTTATAAATAACTAAGGGCTGCCGCCGCCCCGTGCCGCCAACCCATGATGCTCTCTTATAATATCCAACGCCCGCTGTTCCTGCTTGTTTATAGCGAAGGAAACCAAAGGGACACCAAAGGCAAAGCAAATCAAAGGAAAGCCACAAAATAAACCAAAAATAAGCCAAAGGGAAACCAAAGGGAACTAGCACGAAACAGTTTAGTCTTTAGCCAAGACATCAATGCAATACTGGGCCATGTGCACGTCTAGGCAAAGTGTTTTTTCACTCCCGAGCAACACATCGCGAGGGTTGTTTCCAAAAGAGAACTGTGCCACTAGCAGGCTAACTTGCGGACACTTGTTAGAAAGCCTAGCCATTTGGGGACACCCCTTGCGACCTGCAACTGCTGCCAAAATGTGCCTTCCATGTTGGTGTCGTTTCACCACTAACGCTGCCGATGCTGGGTGTGACGACGATGTAAGTAAAGAACAAACAGGGGAACGACATTTCCTTTACCAAACTCAGCCAAACACCATCAAGCACCATTTGTATATGGGACGAACTGCCCAGCATTACCACCAAGGGCTAACGTCACTATCGAATCCTTTAACATGATTAAAGTAAAGGCAGCAACATTGCCAGCATCACAAGCGATGACGTGAGCAGGCCAGAACGATCTAATGATGCAATAATCAGTGTAGAAGATACGTTTGATGTTCCACCCTTCTCGTGCGCCTCTTTCCAGGACGGCGGATCCCAACTGGAAAGGTCCAGTCGGGGAATTCCCAGGACCGGTCGAGTAAAGGGGGCCCTGACCATCCTGGCAATGAAGTTGGGAGGGCTGCATTCCACACTGGAAACCAAAGCAACACGACAGGATGCCGGACCTGACATGCGGGTGCTGCCACTGGCCCGCCTTGTGATTGGCGTCTCTTTCCCAGGAGTTGTGGTTTGCTAGGGCGGCCTTTGACAGGTTCCGGGAAGAGGCCGTGAAGGTGCCATTGTGGTGGGATGGTACGATTTTCCCTTGTTTCGGGGCTGGCTGGGTCAGCTGAGTCATGATCAAGCTCCGGGTCCCGCTGCAGGTGTATGTTTTAGCGAGGCGTCAGCCAGGTGTTCAAGTGCTCAGGTCCGCTGCTTGCAGCATGCGAGCCATTGGCGACCTCCTGGACCGGCCCACGGCGCTGTCACTTCTCAGGTCCCAGAAGGACTGGGTGCGACGGGCGGTCGCTGAGCCTTCGACCCACCTCATTAACGTTGTTGCCCAGTGGGTTGCTTCCTTTATTCAACTTTTTGTTAGGGAAGGGTTCCGATTCCTTTCAGATCAACCAACCAAAAAACATCGGATGCCCCACTTTTTCACAATGGACATCGACTGGGCATTTGAGTTAAGATCTAAGCCAGCCGAAAGGAGCAACTCCCAACTGCCGAATCAGAGGCATTTGGCACAGTCCAGGTGAGGCCGGTGGGGATGCGGCCAACCTAAAGGCCTCGGAGGTGCATTTGGGATGTTGCCAGCCCGAAGAGAAGCTGGCGCTGGTTATGTAAACCTTTCTAACCACTTAGTTGTTTTTCTTGGGGTGGGGAACCCTGCAAAATGGTGATGTTCCTGGTGGCTTCCCTTTAACGCCATTAAAAAAAAAGAAAGTTGAGGCAAAGGTCCGCGCCGGTGAAATGGGCGCCCGTTGGGCCTTTCAGAGCGACTCCATCTGATTTGACCTTCAGGCGTTGCCATGTTCGCGGCCATGCTTCAGCATCTCCACGCATTTTGCCAAGTGGGTATGGTTCAAAATTATACCATCAGAAAACCGGAGGTTTGAGTCCTCGGCTCCATTTACCAGGGTTCCATTTTGGGCACCTGTTGTTGACCCACAGCCAAGTGAGGGACTGGTTAGAAGGGAAAGCAGCCCCTGCACAGACATTCTGCAAGCCCTTTAAAAGTTGCCCATGAGACAAACCTAGTGGACCCCCAAGAAGCTATGACCTGAGCTTTGCAACCCTGATACTTGGTAAGGGTGACGTTCGTGTTTAGATGTCCCAGGGTCTCAGTGGTTCTGCTTTACCCCCTCTCTGACTCCTTGCAAGGGTTTGACTCAAGCAGGGTCCCTCACTACATTTGGGGCCAATCAGCAAATCACCTTTACTCACTCCCTGAGTTGCTGCAGGTTAAACTTTGTGTCAATACAATTTTGGTGGCAAAAAATAAAGTTTGGCGACTGTGTTTTGCCCATCCGCCCGATCGGAAGTGAGTTTACGAACTGATTTGGGGGCCCCGCTTCCTAAAGCAGGTGGTGTTTGACTTACCATGTGGTACCGTCCAGGGTCCAACTTCCCCCCCAAACCACACCACAAACCACCCCCCAAACCCCCCCCTCCAAACCCGGGTGAAACATGACCAGAAAGGACATGGGCCTGGTGATGAAGCTCACCG